GCGCTCCGGTGGAAATATCATCCAAATTGGACAACTACATACAAATAATGAATATTTTAAGTTTCTAGCATAATACGTGACGCTTAACAGTCAGAAAATTATAGGAAACACTTACCAATTTCTTGCATAGTGCTGATTTAAGCCTACGATTCGCCTCACTAGTTGAAGGTAGACTGTCAAGCAAAAATGTAGTTTTTTGCTGGACATTGACGAGATACAGAAACCAATGACGTGCTTCATCGTCAATAACTGGCATAAATATCTAGCAACGAAACACTCACTATATGTTATAAACAGCGAATACAAACAAATGCACTTTCGAAATTTAATGATATAGGGACATTGACTAGACTAACCTTCTGGCATGCACTGACATTCGGCATAAAGACCACGCCATCATTCATCAACTTGTTACGAATTTGTCTGGTCTTCATGTTAGCGCGTACCATTTTCTGCACCATGTTTTAGTTGAGATGAATTGACATGGTACAATATAAATAACTAGGTTATGACAAATAATTTGACATTACGGCTCTTACCGAAAACATATTTGGCAAATACCACACATTTGGCTCTTTCACATCATGTTTTTCAGACATTGTTAGTGCCCTTGCACACAAATCCACTACCTACCATCCAACAATCAAACACAAAATCATCGTAAATCGTAACATAAATAGTGCACAATTCATACGAAATTCGTAGTATTATAGTACTTACTGATGAGCAAACCCAGCTATTCTCGCTAATGACCGAACTCAAATAATGTCGTTGCACGTTTTCAGAAAAAAATTCCACAACGGTCAAACTGCAAAAATCAAAATAACAGAAATGTCAATTGTGATTTGCAACGTACAGGTCGACCTGTTCACAGTCACGGTCGACCTTATTGGAAAAGCAGTCGACCTCACGACCTAAACGGTCGACCACACGTACTAAAAAACGTCTTACTTGTCCCAATTCTTGTCCCCAGCTTTCTCTTTAGTAACAACATAATACAAGTCTTCAACTGGATTTTGAAGATTTTTGGTGAATCCTTCTAGACCCTCCACTTTCATGACCTACAAATCATAGTTAAAATTAAAGTAACATATGAACACAAACACACATTATAGATGAATATGTAACGTAAACTTACCCCGTGCTTTTCGAAAGGACTCTTAGATTCATCTTCATCGCTATCATCACTAAATAATCCTTTTCTTACAAATTGATCCTTCTGTGGAGTGGTGTAGGAGTCACTTTCATATCGCGGTCTCTTGTACTTAGGAGAGGAACCCTTGCTGCCATTCGTTGTTTCACTCTGTCAAACATATAAACAAAACAAATTAGCACTAATGATAGTAATACTAATATCTTCAATCACATATGAATATACTTGGATACCTTTAAAATGTGCTCTTTCAATAAATCGTCTATGCTCTGGTAGCAATTTTCAGAGTCATCATGGTCTTCTTCCTCTTTACCAAAGTCAAATTTCTTTCCTTTACCATTTCTTCCGCCATTCTCCATTCGTTCTGCACTTATATCTTTGATAGCACCTTCTAGCCTCTCAAACCCGTCATGCATCATCCCAGTCATATCTGTCAGTCGAACTGACAATTGCTCCACTCTATCACACATGGACTTCTGAAAGTCATTGACTTGTGTTTGACACACCACCAGCTTCTCTTGTGTGGCTTTCAACAATTTCATGATTTCACCCAAATCTTGATGCAGTTTCTCATCATGCGTCATTGTCTAAACAATTTCAAGAAAAATTTAAATCATAATTCAACTACAAATTTCTACAATTGACCAAAAAACAAAGACGTGGTCGACCTGACAAAGTATTAGGTCGACCTGGAAGACAAATAGTGACTACCACAACCATTAAGGTCGACCTCTGTTATTCCTAGGTCGACCTATCCAGCAGGAAAATAAAAATTAACAACAAAAAGTAAGTTCAAAATTAAACCGAAAAAGGATAGGTCGACCAGATATCTGGCGCGGTCGACCTTTTCAAGCACAACATAGTCATACAATCAAAGCCAAAGTCGACATTCAGGTTGAATAACCAAAAAAACAGGAACGGTCGACCTTGAAACCCATTAGGTCGACCAATTGGGTTACCTCGCAAGTATAGAAATCCAAGTGTTGTGGCCTAAATTCAAATACGCAGAATTGTCTCGTCAGGTCAACCTGGTTGACGTCACGGTCGACTGAATGGAATTCTGCACCCAACAATATATCAGATTAGCCGGTAGAAATCACGCATTAGAAAAGAAGACGACGAATGGTACATTAGGTCGACCTCACCTTAGACCTGGTCGACCACTTCCAACGCGTACAACAGCAACCGCGAACGATCTTCTTCACAAAGGCTCTTAATAGGAAAAAAAACCTAATTCAGACTTGGAGGCGTTGAAGGGGACTTATATTCGTATTTATAGAGATTTAGGACGTCAATGGGTCGACCCAATTCGTTTTCTTGTCCAATTGTGGAACCTTTCTGGTGTTGGAATCCATATCCAATACGGATACGGTGTGAAGGCGATCGACCTCTTCATAATGCGGTCGACCTGTTAGGTGCACAAGGGTCGGCCTATGAGATATTTGGGTCGACCTTTCATTCTGTTAGACCACCAAAGCGGTCGACCGTATTATGTAAGAGGTCGACCGCATCTCGGAACCCCACATACATGAATTAGTCCATTCGGTCGACCGCATGTTGGATTAGGTCGACCGAAAAGTCCATGTCACGGTGACGTGCATGTCACCGTAGCAAAATCCTAACTTTAGAAACAAGTAAAGTGAAGAAGAAATTGGAATTTAGTATTTCTTTGCAAATGTGAGTGAGGGGGAGAGATTTTTTTGTCTAAAAATTTTGTGAAAGAAAACTCATATATCATTTGTTTGAATATTGCATATTGAATTGGAGTATTGAACATTTTGAAAGCGATAAATAATTCTGAAATTAGTATTAATTTTCAGCCCGGTTGACCAATAGCCTTAGACCTTTTGCTAATCTGACATGGATCCAATAATTATAAGATGAGATTTAGTTTAATATGGCGTCGGTTCAAAATAATTTTTATGTGTAAAGAATTTTTACGACAAATACATGTAAAGTGAAGATGAACTTGATTATGCATTTTTATTGTTTATATAAATACAATGGTTTAAGTCTTTAAGCGATAAACTAACTATACACTCACTCGATTGGTTTATCTTGTTCTGTTTTTTTTATCATTTTTAAGAATTAGTTTATTCACAAGATATCAAGCTACTTTGCTTCGCCGATGAATAAGCGACTATCTATTCGCTAGGTTTCAGGTGCTCTGATTCACACTATCGACTGGGAATTGAGAAGAAACATTTCGAACGCAAAACTGGAAAAGTAATTGAGTTGTTTATAGGTTTCTCGCGATTCCAGGCGGTGGGAAGAAAGAGGAAGGGAAAAGAGGGAGAGTTTTGAGATACAAAGCTGGGAGAGAGAGATGGAAAAAACAAATGGAAAAACAAAGAGGAAGGCAAATAAAGAATGAGAGGACCCATCAGTAAAAAAAAAAAAAAGAAAAGAATGAGAGGACCCATTTAAAAGAGGAGGAAAGTGAGGTAGTGTGAAATAATTGTTCTTCTGCTTTGATTAATGGATATTCTTGGCCTTATTATGTTGAGTTTAGATTTATTTTAGGAGATGACATTATATTTGACATATTTTTCTATTTCAATTTAAAATCCTAAATCAATATTACTTTTTTACCGCCGAAGACTAAAAAGATATCATTTGGAAGATTTTTTCTTTTATACGATTATTGTAATTTATGAGATTTAAGGAGTATTTGATAATGTCAATATTTTAGTGGTTTTTTATTTAAAATTTGTATTGAAAGATTGTACGTACCGGCGGTTAGACCATAAAACTTCACATCATATGCTAAATCGATAGGTGATATTTAACAATAGGAAACAGTTGAACCACAGTTAAATTATGACTTCAATATAAAATACTCTACTACCAACATTTTTGATAAGATTTTACAATCATTTGGTTCATACAATTCTTTTACATTGATGGAAACAAAAGTTTTAAGGCACATTTTTAACTATCTATTGCAATAAAGCATAAGTCAGTTAGCGATAATGAAAATATGCAATTTAATGCAACCCAAAAGATACTTCGCAACTTATATATTTAAAATAAATGTATGCTACCCATACCCTCACTCATTCATCAACTTAATGAGTAACATATCTTTCATGTAATATTATTTTCATACGTTTTTATTTATTGAATTATTTCATATAAAATATTTGCTGCATGAAAATTACTACATTGTTGCTGGACATGTCTGCGATCTGAGAAAACTTTGGAAGTCCGTACACATCACATTGTCCAACTAACTATGAGCGAGAACTTAGCATCATGTCTTATATATTTCGAATCAAGCAACTTCAGATTCATTACCAACAGTGTGGTAAAAAAGAATGCTCTCTATTGGAAAAAAAACTTAAAGGGCATACCTCTATGAGACATTTTCTTTCATCCTAAAGGTTGATTATGTATGTATTATGAGAAACAAATGTAATATTCAACTATATAGTTTAATTAAGTAATGAATGACAATTAGCTATATTTTTTTTTCATTCAATAATCATATGTAATGCTTATATTATATATATTTTTTTCTTTTTTATAGAGTTCTGAACACATTATACATAGTTGGATCACTTTCAAAAATGTTATGTGCATAACTAAGATAGCAAACAATCATTTCATGCATTTCAAATAATCTATTATATCTGTTATTATATACTATATTTCTCGACAAAATTCTTCTGGCCAACGGGTCGGGCCCTGTGCTAGTATACTAAAGGGAATAATGGATACAAGGTACCTTATCTATAAAAATACAAAAATAATAATCTTATATCATTTCCTTATATACAAATAGATTGGGAATCCACGAAAAATGAATACCCTTTCTACATGTGTCGATTTCTTTCCAATTTTGTCATCAATGTCGCTTAGTGAGCGAGGAAGTCAAGCTCACGAGAGCAGGACTCTCCTTGGCCATCCAATCCGAGAGAAGGAGACCGTACCTCCTGAAAACCTCGGCGGTGATTTCCCTTGACAGATTAAAGTGATGGGCGATGATCGGATCAAACGCTGCCTCCATGCACTTGGAAAGGTTGTAACCACCATCTCTAGCCAAATTCACCCCCCGGTAGACATCCCAATCCATATCCCACAAATCTAGGTGTTCAATGGCGAAGGAGCCCTGTATCCGCCTGAATGGGCGCTGTTGGACTGGACCTAGTTACGGCTCCGTGGGCTTCCTTTTTTTCCTCTCCCTTCCACTTATATGGAGGATGGCATGTAAAGCGGGAGGTTGAAGGAATCTAGTTTTTGTTGCTCTATCAATCCCTGCAAAGGATACTACGACTTTGTTATTACATGTGACTTGTGAGAGACTTCACAATATGAACACTCTTTTGGGTTGTTCTCTTTTTTATGTGCCTCAGATGCCATTTGGTAGAGAGCTATCGACATAAGAAGGTAGCAACACTCTTTTTCATCAGAAGGTTCTTCACCTCTCCTTCCATGGAGCGTCAGTACCATCCGACCTCCTGTCACTAATTCCCTAGCTCTAAACTTCAAGAAGTAAGAAAAGTCCATCTGGAATTGTCTATAATAGGCTTCCAACACACCTGGAGGGCTGCTACTCTCTAGGTAAATGTTTCCCTTGTTCTCCTCCAGACCTTGAGGAACCTGAGAGCGCTAATGAAGACTGTAGGAAGAGTGGATGAAGTGAAGGCTGTCAGTGGGGAAAAGCCTGTCATAGAAAGAACCCCAAACTCCAGCGATGGAAATTAATGGTTCAGGATTCAGATCCAGTATAGCTTGGGCAGCTCCCATTTCTTTCTTCATGTTTTCCCTGAATCCTTGAATGGAGGTGAAGACATGGTTGAAGTCGTTTCCTGGGAGGTCGTTCAGGAAGACCTGAAGCTCGGGGCATTCCTGGCCTAGCTCCCTGGAAAGCTTGTCGACGACCTTGATCACCTCCGACACGAGGAGAAGGGTGTTGGGTCCTGAAGCGCAGCCCAAATCTGTGATCACTAGCCTGCTACCTTTGGGGAAACCCGAGCTACACATCAGTTTTGCAATGGCTTCCTTTGTTATCGGCAGAGTCCTTGAAATCCCCTTCCGCTGCAAATCGACAAAGATATCTGTTAGTAAATGATATATGATCCGCAATTAATCTTTTCCCAATAACTGGAGTTATTGCGACCAGTTAGTTTATGACATAACAGTAATTATTGGAGTTGGCTTATATTAAGGTCACATGTTCAAATCCTCATGACCTCCAACATTAACAGTGATGACCAAAGTATAATGGTATTATATGGTTCAACTTCTCCCGAAAACTCGAGTGATTGAGACCAGATCGCTCTATGTGATGGGGTGGATGTCTCATTTACCTGAAGCAAGGAGTTCATGGCGTAGCTGGTCTCTTCCAGGCCACCATTCACGTGCAGCACGGTAACCATTTCCATGATCTATCTTGCTTTCAGGGAGAGCTGCGTCTGATATGTTTGATTTGGTTGGTGTGTCTCTGTCTCGTTCTTGCACACTCGGGGCATTCTTCTGGCAAACCTTGCAAGAGGATCAAGAAACATAACAAAGACGTTAATGGAGAAGTACTCAGCATTAAAGTCAATTACTGCACAACCACACCGACGGCCAAGAGAAGGAGCATTAAAAACCTGACCTCTCAGGGGAAGTCAGTACAACCACCTCCCAAACCACCTGAGAGGGAGGCCATAAATAGGGGTTTGTGGGATACAATCTCGCGCTCAGACGAAGAAATTAATATGGCACAACTAACGGTGTGCAGGAAGGCTAATATGGAAATACAGGAAAGAGCCTGCTCCGAGGAAGATCCACATGGCGAAGGCTACCAGGAGAGTCCCTGTGAGAAGATCAAGAGAGTTAATGCAGCAATCATTAACACTACAAAGAGAAACAAACTCAAGCCGACAAGCAATCAGCCACCACAAGCAAAAGCTATGAGGAGCAGGGGAAGCAGAAGGATCCACAGAATCCAGCCGCCTGACAGCAACCCAGAAGTAGCCACTACAAAGCGAAGAGAAGTTTATGCGAAGAAGAACATGATACAGAAAAGGCAAGTAGGAGGAGAAGGAAGAAGAAAACTAAAAAAAAAGGTTATTGTGAGACACCCACAACAATCAATGCGGATAGCATTCAAGGCTTGTTCAGCATGGAGGAATCAAGGGAAGAGTAAGCAATCAGCCTATTTAAAGGAGCCAAACCTGGAAGCTTACTACCATCCACAACCTGCCTATCATAAACGAATGAGTTTTCTCTCAAACACCACCAGAGAAGCCACAAAAAAACCTCAAGAACACTGTCAACCCCCTCCCTCCCCACCCCCAAATGTCAATGGAAAACAACTCGATGAATCTGAGAGGAGAGAAGAGCCATCTTGTCCTGAATGTCAAACCAAAAGTAACAGGAGACAAAGGGAACGACATGGCCATGTTACTTGGGAAATGGGTCACCGAAACCAACATCAACCTCCAGAAAGCTAAGAACACAGTGGCAAGCAAATGGCGAGCATATGGGGAAGTCCAAGCAACCAAGGAAGCGGACAATCTGTATGTCTACTCCTTCGAAAATGAAACACAAAGAGATGCAGTGTATGATGCCCGACCATGGAACCTCGGTAACACCCTGATTGCACTAAGGAAATGGGACGGAGAGCAGAAGGCAGAACCCTCAGACATCCCAATGGTCACTTTATGGGTCCAAATGCATGATCTGCCCCAATTGCTGAAGGATGAGGAAGCCATCCAAGCAGTTGCAGAGTACATATTCTCACATTATTATGGTCTCGATCAACCAAATTTCGAGTTCAGAGGCTGGCTAAAATTCATAAGAGCCAAGGTTGAAGTGGACCTCGACAAACCCATCCCAATCGGTTTTGAGTACCCTCTGGGGGAGAGATTAATCTAGGTAAGCTTCAAGTACGAAAGGATTATGGACCTATGCTACTTCTGTGGGAAGCTAGGACACCTAATCCAGAACTGCCTTGAAAGAGAAGATCATCGAAGAAGGGGGTTATGCACAGACCCATCGGAAGTGTACACGGCAGCACTGAAGGCAGGCCATGACTCACCGACAAACACACCGCCGACGTCATTCCGAGAGAAGCTGGCCAGGTTGAGACAAATGACTCTAGCTAACTCAAGGGCCCACAGACTGAGAGGATCTCGAGGAGAATCCTCTCTGATGTCACTAGTGGGGCGCACTGGACAGGGATCGTCGTCATGCCCCCTGGATTTGCAGCACTGACCACTGAAGAGCCGCGACATATAGCAAACACAGTCTGGATACAAAGAGAAGAGAACAGAAGCCCCACAACGATACCGCAGATAGGCTTTATGGAGGAGGAGATGGAAGCGGCGACTCTCGCTTTGCAGAGAAGCCTTGACCTAACCGGCAGAGAGACGCCAAGGAGCAAGCAGGCAGGCCTGATTGAGATGGGCGAGACCTTATCCCTCACTAGCCCAATATATGCCCAGAATTTCCAGGCACCGGCCCAGTCCGATGAGATCCATCAGCAGGCACAACCATCGCAACTGAGAACCCAAAATGAAGAGGCCTAGCATCAACCACAACCCGACCTGCCGGCCTAAAACCTTTTCACAACAACGACCCTTGCCTCGACTCCAACAGGAGGAGAGATAAGGCCAGCCCGGAAAAGAAAAGGAAGCCCAATACGAGAGACAACCCCACTTTCTCCCTCCCTCAGCAAATCATCTCTACTAACCTTTCTGTTGAGACTCCGTCTTTTACCCCAGGTGGAAGCAAGAAAACTTACCAGAGGAGAAGAAGCACCATTAGGAGAAGGAGTATCACTGAGATCAATAATGATGGGAATCATTCCGGAGAAGGAGAATCACCTTCACCAAGGGAAACAGAGGCGTGCCTTAAGTCGCCTAATCAAGAATGAGGATAATCAGCTGGAATTGTAAGGGCTATGGCCAGCCCCTTACAAGGAGTTACTGAGGCAGATTATGTCAGAAATTCGGCCCCTCAGTGGTTTTTCTTATGGAAACGAAGAAGGAGGATTCCTTTCTTGAAGGTAAAAGAAGAGCATCGAAGAATGTCAACCCTGTAGTTGAAGGGAGCGGTTTAGCTCTCTGGTGGAAAGATGATGTAGCTGTGTGTATCTTAGATTGGTGTAAGTCCTTTATGGAGGTTAGTATTAGCAGGGACAGCGTGACATTCTTTTGTACTTTCATCCATGCTCCTACCACGGTGGTAGAGAGAAGGATGCTCTGGGAACGACTTACGAACCTTAGAGACATCAAGGATGAGAAATGGTTGTTAGTAGGAGATCTCAATGTGGCACTAACGCCTTTTGAAAAGCAGGGGAGATGCCCATTGCGGAATGAGAATGTAGCCCCTTTTAAATATTTCATGGAGAACAATGCTCTGCTTGATCTTGGTTTCTCGGGGCAGCCCTTCACTTGGACTAACAAGCAGCAAGGAGACAACCTTATTAGGGAAAGACTTGACCGAGCATTGTGCTCTGCTTCATGGAGAATCGGTTTTGAGTCAGCTGTTGTCTTCCATGAAGACTTTGTCGAATCTGATCACTGCCCGATCAGGATTGACCTTTCCCCAAAGAGACAAAAAGTGAATACACCCTCTAGATTTGATAAGAGATGGAGATAAGAAGAAGAATGTTGTCAGATCATCATTGATAATATGGATGGAGGGAATATGATTCACAATACCCTCAAGAGCTGCCGAGAGAAGCTCACTAGGTGGACAAAGAATGATAAGAAAAACAAGTGTCGAAGAGAAAGAGAAATTCGACAGAGAATTCAAGAGATTCAAGGACCTTGCAGATCTCACGAAATGACTTTGGAAGAAAAAACTCTCCAACAAGAGCTCCATCTGCTTTGGGGTTCGGAGGAAGAATTCTGGGCCCAAAGGTCGAGGAACTCCTGGCTACAAGAGGGAGACCAGAACACAGGCTTCTTCCACGCCAACACCATTAAAAGACGGAACTCAAACAAGATTGTGAAGCTTAAGGATGACAGGAGTATGGATTGAGAAAGAGCCTGAATTGGGGGATCATATCAGTGGTTTCTATCGAGAATTGTTCACCAGCAGGAGAGGCATGTTTGACCATTCCCTTTTTAATGGTTTCCCCTCTCTGGTCTCTGCTGACTAGAATCTGGCCCTTACTGCCCCTCTGCTTAACGAGGAGATCAGGTGATACGCCCCTGGGGGGGGGGGTGTATGTTATCAAAGTCACGCAGCTAACGACTCAATCGAAGAATCGATTGAGCTCGAATCAAGAACGAAGCGTTCTTAATACGAACTTGGATAAAGCGGAACCAAAAGGACAAATCCACACCTGGGGATAGCTCGATTGGTATAAAAGGGTAGGTGCTCGACCACGATTGAAGTGACTATTCAATCGATACACAAGCTCAGAAAGTTTGGAATCCACCAAACCCAAACAAGTCGCAACTTGCACAAAACCAAAGGTTTGTTTTTCGATTAATCAAAGTCTTAGTTTTACAACGAAAGTAGAAAGGTATTTAAAGGCAAATAAACCTAATACAAACCTAATACAATCATAGTGTAACTAGGAAACAATTAAGGTAAAATTCTACACTAAAAAGGAGACAAAATTCGGGTTTAAACTCCCTTTCTTCAAGCGCAAGTAAGCTGCCAACAACAGTCCAAAAGCAGCTTTTGTACTAACTTCGCGCCTTTCGTTCGAGGCCTTCCCGAACTTCAATTCTTCAACCAATTCCTTCCCTCTGTTCACAAACATACCTAGTTTCATGTTGTGGAAGCCTTTGGACTTGAATGAGATCCATACTCCTCGAATTGAGCTCCAAAGTAGGCTTCACAAAACAGTTTTCTGCCTTAGCCATTTTCTGGCAGTTTTCCAGTTTTAAGGTAGCAACTTTGAGGCCTTGGCAAACAACCTTAATGACATCATCTGGATCCACCAAGCATACCATTGGAAAGATGGTAACTTTATCTGCAAAAAAAACCCTTAAAATAGAATTTCCACCAAGCCAATTGAGAGAACCATGCCTCCAAAGTATGTACCCTGAACATGGATTTTGACTTTGCCAAATTCTGCCCTTCTTCTTCCCAACTTTGATGGCTTCTTTGTCAAGTAATTGTGACGTGAATGGTTGGCAATTTGGGATCATATCAGGCCCTCCCTCTTGAAAAAGTGTTGCCCTCAACACTTTAGCCTTTAATTGATCAAACTGTACGCATAATTGATCCCAAATTGGATCGAAGGTGGGCTGCTCGATCATCCTTTTCGACGCAAAAATTTCAGCTGCATACTCAACTTCGAACTCGTCCAAGGGCTTGGAAGCTTGCAGAGCTGTTGGAAACTCTTCCTGAACTTGCCAAAAACCTTCCCCGACGATCAATTCCACCTGAACGCGGTTGGAAAACTTTCCAGGTCGTCGGACTGCTTCTGCGTACCAGTTCTTGCTCGAATGAATTGGGGATTTTCGTTTCGACGATTTCCAGTCCAATTGAACCACTCCAAGCCCTTCTCCAGGCTTCATATTGAAATTTTGGACCTTCCCACAGGCTCGAATCATCACCATTTTTGTCGAATCATCGAGTTCCTCTTTCCCGCCGTCAGGCAATTTCGAACCCAGATTTTTCAATTGGAAATTGGGTGTTTTTTGTTCACGCTTCGAATGGATGAATTGGTGGATCTGGCACGTTCCTGGGACCTCAACGAATGATTCTTCAACGGCCGCTTGCGTCGAA